GTAAATAGTCGAATATGGATAAAAGATCAAGATCAACAATTTACTATTCTTACTGGTAAGAATATAATAAAGAGAGAAAATTCTTGAGAGACATTTTCAATGTTGGAATGAAAAGATTTATTATTAATATATATATCTAGTATTCTTAATCATCTAATATCTTCATAGATCGTACACAAGGTGGTGCCAGTATTGTTGATGGTTCAGTCGAACTTATGATTCATCGACGACTTCTCTATGATGATAAACTTGGTGTTGGTGAACCCTTAAATGAAACTGCATATGGTGAAGGACTTGTTGTACGTGGTAAACATATTCTTTTCATTCAACCACCTGCTTCAAGTGCTCTCTATCATCGAGTTAGTTCTCAAAGTTTATATATGCATCCACTTTCAACATTTGCAATAATTCCACAAACTTATGATAGTTATGCAGCTGCTTATCGTCAAACATGGTCAGCATTAACTGATACATTACCATTAAATGTTCATCTATTAACATTTGAACAACTAGCACCACAAATCTATCGAATTCGTCTCGAACATTATTTTGAATTGAATGAAGATGAAACTTATTCACATCCAGTTACATTTGATCTACAATCAATATTCAAATCAATAGGACAAATTAGTGAATTTACCGAATTGACACTTACTGCAAATTTACCATTAATGGATTTAAAACGACTTACATGGTTATCTGGTCAACAAGAATCATCTCATATATTTGTTCCTGGTATGTTGTTTAATGAATAGATTATTTTTAATAATGAAACTATTTATCTAACTTATTTTTAGAACAAAACGCTGCCACCAATACAACCATTAGACTTATACCAATGCAAATTCGAACATTCAATGTTTTAGTACAATAAAGGGTCGATACAAAAGATAATAAATTATAATTAGACATACATGTCATTTTTTTTTCATTTATAATTTTATATTTCATAATTTTTAATCTAAACTTCAATAAAAAAATAAACTTTTACCATTTGATCTATTTTGTTTATATAAACAAGGAAATTGGTATTGGTTGAGGAAGGTTAATTGATTGTGGAGATTATTCAT